ATTAGAGAAAAAGGCTCAAAATCAAACTGATAAAACATTTCTTACTAATAAAATATTGTTGGATTGATTAATAATAATTAATAATAATAAATAATCCTTAAAAAACAACAGGGACGACAGAAAGTCAAAAGCTATTTATGCAAAAAGAGATGAAAAAAATCAAATTAAAGTCATGTCTTTGGTCTCTTGGATTCACACACACTAGTCGGTGTGAACCGTGTTCACGTCAGTGGCTCCGACACCACAGCTGAAAGCACGTGTTTATTATTGTTCCGTCTAATAAACCGAAGCCTCGGCGTTTTCCTAATGGACTTCATTAAACACAACATTTTCTGTGGCAGAACGACCTTGAGGTGAAGTCGGCGTCGAATGGAGCCTTGAATGGAGTCAAAACACGAGTGGAAAGATTTGAACCTGTTGCACTGCGTGTCTGTTTGTTTCCATGTTTCCATGAATATGTGGACGCTGTAAACTACACTGACTGGAGGACGAAAAAAAAACAAAACAAAACAAATGTTGATTTTCTTTTTTTTCCCTCATTGTCTGAAATGAGCTCTCGAAAAATGATCTCCGTCTCGTCTCCAACCCCCGGCTCACAGTCCAGAGAAAGACCCTTATTTTGATCCTTTTTTAAAATTTGGACACCTTTTCATGAGCTCGTGTTCATCTCTGAATATAAATAAATAAAATCAACATTTTTTGGAAAACCTCTCAGTTCCTTTCATGATAAACACTGGCCGCCGCGCTTTTCTCCTTGAGTGATTATTCTCTTCAAATAGCATTTTTTTTTTTCCTCCGGGCAGGTAGAGCTGGGGCTGAATGGATGCTGCCGCTGCATAATGGTCCTCAGACGTTTGTTTCCTAGGAAACGTGGGGAGGGCATGTGCAGAGGAGGTATAAAAGCGCTGGCAGCTCCGCTCCGTGTCTCACTCTGAGATTCATCCACCGACTGTCAACACAGACGGCGGCGCAGAAGTTCCCCAAACACTTTTCCAAACCTCTCTGTCGCCGTCGCCGGCGCTCGGCTCAGCTGCGGGGGGGAATGATGCGACCCAAAGATTTACGCCAGGGCTCTGGCACCAAAACCTTCCTGGAAGCCATGCACGGTGGGAAAGTTCACCTCGCACGCTTCATTCTGGACGCCCTGGACGGACGCATCATCAACTCAAAGACAGAAAACAGCCGCACCCCGCTCATGTACGCCATCTGCCTGCAGGACCCCGGGGCCAGGGTCAAGTTCACCAGACTGCTGCTGGAGAAAGGCGCTGACGTGAACTGTCAGGACGAGGACGGCCGCACCGCCCTGAGTCACGCCTGCGAGCTGGGTCACCTCGATGTGGTCAAACTTCTGGTGCAGTACAACGCAGACCCGGACATCTCCGACGTCTGGGGCAACAACGCTCTCATGTATTCTGCCTTCTCCGGACACAGCCCCATTCTGGAGTTCCTGGTCCGGGCGTTCAAACGACTGGGGCTGAGGCTGGACAGAATCAACAACGCCGGTCACTCAGCCATCGAGGTGGCCAACTTCTTCGGGCACAAACAGTGCGTCCAGATTCTGAAGTTTCCCTGCAGGAGAGGAATTAGCACCGACGACCCTCTGGCTCAGGCGGGGGCCACCGATGAGGGAGAGTGGCGGCTGCCCAACAGACTCCCCAGGCATGTTCTGGAGAGGTTCTCCAAGCAGCTGAAAAACGAGGACCAGCTGCCCGGGGTGTTTCAGCGGCAGCTGAGAGTCGGAGAGAGCAGCCTGTGGAACCGCTTCAAGTGCCCGGGGAGTCAGGCTCAGGAGGACAGCCAACACCTGAGCCGGGCTCTGCCTCCGCAGCTGGACAAAAGTCAGACGGAGGCTGAGCACGGCGCCGCCTTCACTGCCAAACAAGTGCAGAACTGCCACCTGAGAGAGCCACGAGGGGGTAAAGCCCCGAGCGAGCCGTGCCAGAAAGACGGCAACCAAAGACTTCCGCAGCAGACGCCGGCCAGTTTCCCGCTCTGGGGGAAGGCGAAGTCGTTTAACCTGGACCTACTCAACAACAGGAAGCAGTCCTATCAGGGCGACGTGTGTGACATGAGCCTGTCTGCCAGCAAATTAAAGAGAGCCTCGCTACAGGATGAGAGATGCCTGATAGACAAGACGGACTGTCAGGGGAACGCTCGCGGCGTGGCGGCCAACGCTGACAAAACCGCCCCGCCGCCAAAACCTCTTCTAAACAGCAAGAGTCAGCCCGTGAGAGTGCTGGAGGAGAACGACAGGACACAGACGGCAGAGAGCGACGACACGGGCCCGGCGGCCAGGAGAGAGCCGCAGCAGAAGAGAGGAAGCCTCGGCCCCGGCGGCAGACACAACAAACTGCTGTTCGCCAGAGGAGAGATGGAGTCGGGGAAGATCCCCGGACACGCGCCGGGCTTCATCGGCCTGGGAACGCGGCTGCTGCGTCGCTTCACGGCCCCGGAGTTCATGAGGATGGTGATCGACTGCTCCTCCGGCTCCTCCAACGGCAGAGGGCGGATGTCCCGCTCGGAAACCTTCCCGCTGTCTCACGCGCACCACCAGCAGGTGAACAGCCAGCCCAGCGTGGACAGCATCAGCGGGGTGAGGTGCGAGTTCGAGAGCTCAGAGTCTCAGTCCGGGCTGGACTAGAGCCAGGACCGGGTTGAGCCACAGCAGTGACCCCTGGTGAATGTTTTATAACAGTGCAGCTGGGTGGCTTTGTGACGTGTTCTCGTTACTGAGATGATCTTTCGCAGTCGTAGCCGTTTGTGATGTTTGATGTCGATGTTAAACCACGGGAGCTGGAAAGGCTCGGAGGAGCTAAATGTGCAGTTATATTTATTCTGTATGTGTTTTAATCCGCAAAGACTGTGAGCTGCTTCAAATCCCTTTGTTTCATATTTAACATTTATACTTTAATGACAATTATGTATTTATATCGCTTCTGTATTTCTAGAAAAAAAAAAAAGCTTTTTTTGCTCAAATATTAAGTATAAATATATCTGTTCAATTCATGCTGATGAGCTAATAAATACTTTATTACACCAGCTCGTCCACTGCTTTCATGCGTGCATTGAGGAGGCACGGGAGGGGTCAAAGGTCAGATTCAATATGCATCATTTATTCATTTGTACAAAATTAAAATTTGAATTCTCTCTTTTCCACCACTGGTCCACACGAGGGTAGAAATACGTGAACCAGGTCAAAGTGTGTCCTTCGTGTGGGAATACAAAGATCATGTGCAAAGTGTTTCTCAACAGCAGGTTCCACGTCCCGCAGCATCACATGCCAGGCCACACACACACACACACACACACACTCACTGTGTTTATAAAGTGTCTCTCAACATATAAAGGTGGCTGAGCCACAGTCAGTGTCCACACCCACACACACACACACACTCATACATGTATAAACATACAGTTGAGGACAACATTTCTGCCTTTCTTAGAAAATATTCGTCTGTTTAAAGTATTTCCCCGGTGCTTTTGCACAGAAATGTCTGAACCAGAGCTGTTCAACAGGGGGTCTGCAGACCCTGGAAGGACCGTGGCGATACTGTCGGAGGGTCACATATTTACACCCTGCTCCATATATTTCACAACATTGAATGTACTTTTAACATAAAGCCAACAAATTGTAGCAAAAGTATAAACCGAGGCAGACGTCGGACGTCCGCTCAAGAACGAGGCCCCAGCCCCAAAGGGGTTTCCAAAAAAATGTAAAGAATGTTCTAAGATTTTCAACTTATTTTTAACATTCTTCCGATATAATCGCCATAAAAGAACTCAGATCGTGGTTCTTTTCCTGGTACTGGTCTGAGGCCTGGTCCTCTGGGACCATGTGTCCTACGATCCTCTAAAGACAACCTGAAGGAGGGGTGACGTACTGGAAGCGGGTGCTCTGATCAGATGAACCAAATTTGGATGGTAAGTTTCACCCAAAGAACACCATCCTCAAAATAAAAACCTGGGAGGTATAACGTGGTGTCGTCAGGATACTGCAGTACAAACTGTTGGCCAGGATTAAAACCTCAAGCTTTGAGCGGCAGAACTGGGTCTGTGTTGGGTCTACAAAACTGGCAAGGACTAACTACAGAGGCCAGAGAGAGGTCTACACCAGGAGACCACGAAGACCGGCCTGAAACCTGAAACCTGAAACCTGAAACCTGAAACCTTCCTCGATACAGTAACAGACACTGCCGAATATTTTTTTACTAAAAATATATAAATTTTTTGTGCCTCTCAGATGAAACCAAATCGTTAAGAAACGTCTCAGGAAATACTTTAAAAGGATCAGAACTTTCTAAAAAAGGTCTTAAAACCTGGTCCTGAACGGTACCTTTCACCTCTCTGTAAAGGAAAAAGTAAACTGTTAAAATATGATCTCGTCATAAATGACTGCAGTGAATCAGCAGGTTTTAAGAACCACATGTACAACAGTATAATATGTACATTATTATTCCGTCTCGTTCGTGTTTGATGTCCTTCGGTAAAAACAAAACCTTATTTTGCAACGTCGCACATTTAAAAAAAAACAAAACAACCCACATCTTTACATTAAGAAATAAAGAATAAATATGAAATAGAGAAGAAAAAAACAAACCACTATTGTTTCTTTTCAGTAGCCCAGTAGCAGCAGCTGGGCTTTCATCTACCCATTTGTTATTCTAATAAATGGAAATGGTCTTTCACGTCCCAGTTTGGTACATATTCAAGCATTCACATCGGGCCAGGTGTGCCTCCTTTTGGCCATGCAAGGAAACACAGGTCCGTGTTTGTGGAGTGTACCAACCGGGTTGTTGTCCAGTTTTTTTTTCGAAGCAGAGGGTGACTGTGCAAAAGGTTAGCATCCTTTCTCCGTCAGGTCGCAATGAGCGGCTCGCGCCACCTGCACAGGCTCCATACTGCCATCTAATGCCCACTG